TTTGCGTTTGTATGCAATCCCCCTTCTAGTAATGCCAACAGCTACCAACGACTAAGTCAACATATATATAAATATATACAACTTTTCCGTTTGAGTTTTTCAAGCATTAAGCAGTCGATATTTTTTACTATTAAAGAATTAGGGTTAAGGAGAGAAAATTAGATTGGAATGAATTTGAAATTTATTTTATTTGATTCATTTAATTATTTTCAAAAAATAATATTTAATAAATTTATTATTTTAATTTTACTTTTTATCTTATATTATGATTTATTTTCTTAATATAATATTTTTTTTTTACAAAACAATAAAGAATAAATCGAATCATCATCGTCAACTAGCCACATCTAATATAAAATGGAGGGTCCATTGGGAAGTGAATAAGGAAGCAACTCCAATAAAATATATTAAAATTTTGTGATGATGCGTTACACAGAATCATCCATATTTTTTTTCCCTTCGTTGGTAAGCTAATATGACCTTTAATTTGTACCAGAAAAAAAAAAAAAAAAAAACTAAAGGAAGAAAACTTGGTAAGACTTTCGGTTAAGTGGTCAATCCACAACGCAACCACTCTCATGTCTCTCTCCAGGCATCATTTGATAATTGATTCTATTATATTTGACCAAAAAAAAGTTGTAAAAGTTTCAATATAATGACACTTACAAGATTCAGATTAAGCAGCCAATGGTAACATAATTTTATCGATATATACAAAAATTAATTAAATTGTACATTCAAAATTTTATTTTATTTTTCAAAAATAGACACTTGTTTGCTTAATCCAATGACTTATTAATTAATTAATATGTAAAAAATAAAAAATAAAATTTAATTCAATTGATATATATAATATGATATTAAATATATATTAATTAAAATTTTAACGTTAATATATATTTTTTTATAATCGGAATGTAATTTTCTTTTAAACGAATGTGATGATTATACAAACAGATGAAACGTGGGAAGGAAGAGGAATCCTTGCTTTACATCTCATTCTCGTATAAATGTATTGTTAAATGGATCGTTGTTTTAGTGGTATCTACCAAAAGGGTAGACCCACTGGGATTGGGCGAGGATGGAGAAAAAACTTGATTAGGGGGATGTGATTGTTCCCTCCACTCCAAACAAGAGGGCATGAAAGTATAAATATTATATATCTTCATTATTTTAATAGTTAAAATTCCATTTATAATTATGGACAAATGGATCTTCTTATCTTAGCATAAGATCTCTTTCAGGTGATTAAATCATGGGTCTTCTTCCCCCTTATATTAAATCTTTTGAAATGCAAACCATCCCTCCCCTCTTTCACTTGACATAGCAGGCTTTCTTTTTGCGCTTTGCTCTTTTCATTTGTTTATTGTTGTTCTTTGTTTTTTTTATTAGATTCTGTTGGGTCTGGTTACTTTAGGACAGTGCACAACAAGTAACATTCATTTTGCTAATATATAAGAGATGATGGCCGAATTTATTAGTTTTAATACAAGTTAACATTGAATTTTATTAATTTTGAATAAAAATATCAAAATTGACTTAAATTTATCACTTAAATTAATAAAATCATTTTATAAATATTTTTTGAAAAAAATTAAAGAACTGAAAATAAAGTGACAAAAAGTAAATAAAATTCAAAATACTTCAAGAAGTTCAACCTAATCCCAACTAAAAAACATCAAAGGAAGAAAGCATGATGTCTATACATTTGATTTTAAATCAATATTATAAACCAAATTTGGTAAAATTTTAATGAATAATACAAATAAAGAAAAACAAATGCTGTCCAAAATCATTCATGGGGGGTTGGGGCCATCCCATCTTGATGGCCATTGAGATGGTTTAGCCAGATCCATGTATCACATCAATGAAAAGTACAATTGTACTCTATTTGGGGGCCAATATACCTATAAAAAACCCTTTTTCCCCCTCCCATTCTAAAGCCAAAGCCAGGCTATCCAGTGTGTAATAACAAGTGATATACACTGTCAGGTGAAGGATTGTGAGTTCAAAAAATGATGTACCAAATGGTAGCTGATCAATGGGGGTGTCCCATCATCTTTCTATGATTCATGCTTTGAATGGTCAAGCTTCAGATTATTGGTGTTCATGTCTAACATTGGATACCATCTCTTTTTGGGTTTTTTATATAACTCTACTTGCTACACAATCTTTATCTTTTTGGGTATTTTGCTTTCTTTCTTACTTTGGATCTCTTCCCAAGTTTTGAACATGCTCAAAAAGGCATTTGAATTCAAGTTGTTTTTTACCCTTTATAATTTGTGGGATTGCACTCAATTTTTAGTGATTTGCACGAGTTTTTCTTTTCGGATTGATTTGATGTGCTGATTTTTATTATTATTGTGTGCTTCGTTTCATCCTCAAAGCGCAAAATCATCCATCTTAAATTATTGAATTTGATCTTCTTTCCCATAACTTATACCATAAAGCAATTTGTGTCTGAATTTTTTATTAAAAATAATTATTCACTAGTAATATTAAAATTTTATTAGTATAAAAGGATATCTATGTTTTGAAGATTAAGAAATATATTGTATATGTTATTAATTTAAAATTTAAAATTATTAATATTATTTTTTTAAATGATAATTATAATCTATTAAAATAAAATTTAAAATTATGTTTAAAATTTTTTGCTAGATACAAATTGGACAATTATGCTCCTATGATGTCCATAGGTGTAATTTGCTCAAACGAAAATAAACAAATGAAATCGTATAGATCATGGAAAATATAATTCAAATCGACATTCATTGTATTTTCATAGTTAAATTAACTTAATTCTCAATTAATGTGGACCAAGGCATTATTTAAGCTTCTAAATTATATCAATAACTAACACAAATTAGCTTAAAATTGGGTAATCGTAACATCAACCGAATATATTATATCATGATAGTCATAGTATATACATTAATCTTTGGTTTTTTAGCTTATCAATCATAGAATTGGTGTTCCATTAGACAAATTCTATCCAATATTTTTTGTTATTGATTTATAAAATATCTTTCATTTAACAAAGTAAAATATTTTAATTATTATTTATACTTTATATATATTTGTTTTTATAATTTTCCTTTTCCATTTTGAAGAAAAAATGGCTCTATCATTTGGACAAAGTATTAGTTTCGGGTTACAAGAAATAACCCAAAAGATTAAAATACCCAAAACCCGAACCCGAAAGGGGTAATGATAAAATCACCCGGGAGGGGCCGCAACATTAACACCCATCACACGAACTCAAACTGTGCTTCATCATTGTTCACTGATATCTTGCGTGCACTCCTCACGCCCTTATCAAACCTTCTTTAATAAACATTTTTTCAATAATTTCTTTCTAACTTTTATTTATTTATTTCAACAAACTTTCTTTTCTTTTTTTTGGGCGTTTCAAGGACATTTTCGTCAATATAATTTTCTATATAATAATCAAGTGGTATTAATCTTAGCTGCTGTCCGTTCCATAAATTTGGACCCTATGAGTCTTGGACTGTAATCCACAATTTTTTTCTCTCTGCTAAAAAAAAAAAAAAATCGTTTCAGGCTTCAGCGTCTCTTTCTCTCTTCGGAGCTCAAGGATTAGAGCAATTTGAAGTTGGGTTTTTTGTTTTCTTGATTTGGGATTTGGGTTTCTTCTCCTTTCTTCTTTTCTGTAAGTTTTGTCAGCTTCTTTGATGTTTTTCATTTCCAAGTCATTTGCTTTAATATGTTTAGTTTTGTTGATTTTTGTAAAAATAAGCCTTTGATTATCTTGCTGGATTTTATTAGCTCATTTATTTTTACTGCTAGTTCCTCTTTTGTTGGAGTTAAAGTTCATACCTTATACTATTTTTGATAGCTTTGGTTAATTTGTTTTCATACAGTTTCTATTATTAGATTTGATGTGATATTACTGTGAAAAATTTGAGGAAAACCCTCTAAAATAGATCTAATGCTAAAGGTTTTAAAACCTCGTATCTTGAACTCAACAGTCGCAGTAAATAAGAAATGCACTCTTTTACTTTACCTGTTCACCTATCACCTTAATATCCTTATTAACCTAAAATATCAAATGTTTGTTCTTCGTTTTTGTTTTGCATTAGATTAATACAATGGCTTTAGTTAAGAGATTATGTTTCTGATGTTAAAATAATGAACCTGTTGGCAATTGCAGGGTTGTTGCATAGGTTGTTTTGGGGGCTGTTAGAAAGAAAAGTGAACCGTGGCGATTTGCAGTGAAAAAGGAACAGCATGTGGTGGTGTTTGAGTCTTTCTATTGATGTGTTTCGAAAAGTTAACTCCTTGAACTTGTATTGTAGAGTGATTCTGTAATTTCAAAATCTAGATCATCAAGATCCGGCCTTTTTTACTCGGTAGTCTTACTCTTCCGGCTTCCATGGGATCCACTTTTTTCATTGTCGTTCCTTGTTATGTCCGCCAGATTAGCTGAACATCTTCAAACCCATCTCTCAGTTTGTTAGTCCAAGAGTTATCATTTTATTCTGGTAGGCAGATTAGTAGTTGTAGTAGTTCAATTTCTGTTTATCTTGATAACGTATTAGGAAGTTGTTGTCGGGAAGGTCCTCTTTTTTCTGCCATATTGAAGGGTTGGGACGTAGTTATGGTGTGCCAAGCAGCGAGCCGAACAAGATTCCGGGAATTGAAGTATGAAAATGGTATTGCGGGGAGTGCCACCATTATAGTTAGAGTTATAGCATGCTTTCAACCTCTTCAGGATTGCCAGGTTGGTTTTTCTTTCTTTATTTCTCCCTTCTTTCTGATATTCTTTTTACAAGTCTTTATGAAAGAATTAGATACCCCTGTGTTTGGTGATTGTATTTCGTTGGTTTATATTTCTTTTCTTAGTATGTGAGATTGCTTGTTCTTTTTTCTTTTGTTATTGATGATTGGTGAGAAAGTTTATGCAAAGTCTTTATTGAATTTCCTTTCTTGGGTTTTTTGCCAGGCTGAATATTTCCGTCATTTGCTCAAGCCCGTTACGTAGATTACTTTTACATTTCCGCGTTCAAGTTAAGCTGGAGTTTTTAGTTTTTTTCCTTGTTTTTGAGAGAAACTGCCAGTGAACTGCTATTTCTACTGGTACAGCATTCTACTTCTGGTATGTGTTAATGGTCTTGGTTTAATGAATATCTACTTTTTAATCTTTGGAATATTCTTTCCAAGTTGATTCATTTTGTAGGTGATTGTTCTGGTTGGATGGGAGAAGGCTGTGGATCCTGGTTTCCTCAGCAGCAATTTGATTGGCAATCACCCAACTTGAATTCTGTGGCTGCTCCACATCCTTTGGGACAGCAAAGTAGTAATCCTCAATTCATAAACTTTAGCACTAGTATGGTCTCAACCACTGGGACTTCGCCAGTTTATGCAAGTACTGAATTACCTCACTTGGAGGTTGGTCATGTTATCGAGCCTCGTGGCTGGTTTTACTGTTTACCCCGCTATCCACAGGTCTTTGTGCCTGCTTCAAACTCTCCCTTGAAAGAGCAACTCCCATCTAGCCCTTATGAAAATCATATGGAAAATATTATCCCCAAGGCAGGGTCTGGGTGTGCTCGGAAGAGATTTCTTGTTTTTGATCAATCTGGTGATCAAACTACACTGATTTTGAGTTCTGCTTTGGGGACTCCTATCAAGTGCCTGACTTCTTGGGGTCCAAAATTTCCTTCTGCTTGTAACTTTAATCGGGAAGATCCCATAGCTAAAGTAAACCCGAATCTTCAGTCTCGACCAATATCTACAGATGTATTTGATGACAATCGGACTGATGTGCAAAGTGAAATGCATGAAGACACTGAGGAGCTCAATGCCCTGCTTTATTCGGATGACGATAGTGATTATACTGAGGATGAAGAAGTTACGAGCACTGGTCATTCTCCTGGTATAATGACAGCCTATGATGAGCAATTTGAAGGAGGCACTGAAGAGGTTGCTAGCTCTACTGGACTAACTAAAAAGCGAAAACTGCTTGACAGCAGTAATGATTATGTGCCATTGCATATGGACACTGCTAGTAACAGATGTTCGGAGTATGAGGGTGATTCTGATTCCAGCCGTGCCAATGGCCAAAATCTGGGGTCTGATGATATGGATTCATCTTCAGGCAACAAGAAAATAAGAAAGGATAAAATTCGTGACACTGTGAGTATATTGCGAAACATAATCCCAGGTGGAGGGGGCAAGGATGCGATTATGGTTCTTGATGAAGCTATTGATTACCTGAAATCCCTGAAACTCAAAGCCAAAACTTTGGGACTTAATACTCTCTGAGTTGCCGCTGTTCTTACTAGTAGTGTTAGTGGTAGCATCTGTCATTATTAGTCATTGTTAATGGAGCGTGTTAAATAAGTGAAGTATATACTGTTGTGCATGGAGCTGCATATAACTTGGGTTCTTCCAATGAAGGAGCTGAGAATTAGAAGATGGTAGAGAGAGAACTTGAACCCCCTTCTTAAGTCTTTCTTCAATGATTTGAGTTGGAAACCAGAAGCTTTGGCATGAAATCTCTATTTTCTTGAGAAAGCAGCCCTAGTGCTGTATTTGTGTCCCAATAAAGGAAGGTGAATCATTAGTCTTCATCTTGGGGTTTAGAGAAAGTAACACTCACACCTGGGCATGGGGTTTGGTTGTGTGAATGAGAAGACTGGGCGTTCTAGAGGGACCCCCATAAAGGGGGCCAAGTGCACGCCCCTTGGGTGTTTTCGGTCCCAATCTTCACTTTCATCTTCCTTTTTGTATTCTCGTCAAGTGTTATAGTTGTGGGTTCCCTTTTCTTTGATGTAGAAAATTGCACGAGCAAAAGAGCCATCTCCCATTTCATCATTCAACAACTTGCCGGAAGGGTCCCAGATGACACCATCTCTCTCATCTCCCATTGGCCTGTGTTTTATAATTTCGTGTGAGTGCAAGATTGTTATGCAAATGTTTTCCGTTGTTTGGTATGATGTGTAGTATTTTTTCCCCTTCTTTACGAGGCACTTTTTAATTTTGATTGTTGGAAAGACTTTATGTGTTTGTATGCTGCCATCATGGGGTCGTCTATGGTGTTTTTCTTTGTTAAACTCGTGATTGTAGTGCTTTGATGGCTAGCAATAATGTTGGCTGTGACTGAATGTAATTTATATTTGCTTCTTGTTATCCTCGTCTTTATTCATATGTATTTACGTCGCATGGACGCATTTATGTACGAGACAGCGATATCTTAGCTCCTAGCCCCCTCTGAAATGGTGCAAAATTTTCCATTCATATGGGGTTGATGGTTTCGGTGATGGGACCACTGGTTGCATTATTTTAGATCAGTGAAGAAGTGGCAGGGATCTGCTCGTGACCTTTTTATTCTCTTTTTTTAATTGATCTTATCGGTCATATCTTTAGGGTTATTTCATCAAAATCAAACCAAGAAAACAAAAATTCGATAATTTCAACCATCAAATGTAGTTGAAAGTAGTAAGGAACGACTGATTTAAAATCTTATTCCATGGTGATAGCGTTGCACTTGAGAGGGAAAGATCAATATGGAAATGGTAGGGTGATCACATACTCTTATCATGTTTCCTATCAGGTTGAATGGTAACGTCAAAGAAGGGCAGCGGTTTTAGGCTGAAATGGTGGTCCATGCCGTTGTCGTTGATAGACTGATAATTGTTGTCAGCATTAGACAAAAGAAGATGAAGAAAGAGTGGAGAGTGGAAATGGAACGAATATATTCCACCTCACTGCCTCGTAGGGTCAGGGTCATGGAAACGCTTTGTTTTTTTTCATAGACCTTATTTCCTTACGTTACATTAGCTTTTGTAATTTTCTTTGCAGGTGCAAGAACAAAATCACTTTTCCTGAAAGAAACCAAGAGTCAATGAGGAAAAATAGGAGGATTCCCAAAGTTTTTTCGATTTAGATTTTATTTTGAATTTAAAAAGAAAACATGGTGCGTGCATGAAACTGGACTTTCACCCAAAAGAGATTGGTCCCTCATGTCTTGTCGCACTTGCTCTTTGCTGAAATTTTTATCAAATCAAAATTCTTCAATGAATTAAAACTGTTCTGTTGTCACCTCCACTTTTTGAAATGTAAAAATGGTTAAAAAAGCAGAAAGTCTTGTTGGAAGTTTCCATGGGCTTCTTCAGTTTGGACCTTCATTGTTGGCCTACTTCACCATTTTAATATACAAGCTTGTAGTTGTCAAATGAGGCTTGTGCCCATAATTTTAATTATATCATTTTAATTTAAATAAGTAACTAATTTGACAAAAAAGAATTACAAGGTTATGATTTAGTTCACTGTTGCATCAAAATTTGAATTTCTCATTAAATAAAAAAGAGAAAAGAAAAAAATTTATTTATTATTTTATTTAAGTTTTCAAAATCTTGATAAAACAGGAACAATTGGGTTAGTTTTTAGTGGGCCATGTTTCGGTTTGGGAGTTGCAGCCCACCCAAGTATCTCCCGTCCCAAATAAACCGCCACGGTGGATCGCATAATAATCCAACACGTGCACTCCACACAATCAACCGTCAAACCTTAAACGGTGCTTAATTCTCACGCAACAACCTTAACCTATTCCTCCTTTCACTAAATAAAAACCCCCTTTCCGTCCTTTTGTTGAAGTTTTTTATGTGTAGAAATTTTAAGAAGCGCACACGAGGCAACGCATTCCATCATTCGCCTCCCGTGTCTCAAAAGCCATAGCGTTACAGGAACTAAAAAGAAAGAAAGGAAAAGTTTTTAAAAGAACCAACAAAACCGTGCTAGCTCCTAGAATCTGCTAGAAATTATTTTCCGCATTTAACCACTTTGATCATCGCCGATTACCGACTTCACTGCCGATCAGAGCTAGGTTTTCAAATATCTTTCTTTTCTTTTGAATAATACTCGACGATGGAGGAGTGGTCGTTCCACGACGGCAACGTATACAATCTACTCGACAGCAGGCACATCGACATTCGCCATGTATTTTAATCTCCTCTCTTCTTTCTTCAAAGCAAATCTTTTTAATTTAATTTATTTTAATTTCCACTTTCTTTGATATTTCTTGCCTTTTTTTTTCCTCGAAAATTAGTTGTTCTGTTTTTCAGTTCTGAGGAAGTGCTGAATTGATTTCAATTTTTTTATCAAATATGTGATTGAGAATTTGGGTAAACTCTACGGAGTTACTGAATTTAGTATGCATGTGCTTATTATTGAAATTTTGAGTAAGCAATGAAGTGCTTGAGCCTAAATGTTTATTTTTCTTTTAAATTTGCTGATGGTTTAACTCTTATAATGTTCAATCTTTATTAGTTTCTTGTTATCAATTATTATACATTTTTTTGGTTAAAAAAGGAAATTTGGTCAGTTTAGGCTATAATAAAGTGCTTTCCTTTTGTTGACTTACAATGGTGACTTGGATTTATCTAAGAGATTTTCTTTTTGGTGTTTGTGTAGGATGTTGATCATAGTTTGCAGATGCATTCGTCACTGATTGGGAGGCTTTCATTGGAACAAGAATTGGAGGTTGTTTCAAATTTTAAATTATCTGATCTTTGCTCTTGGAAAGCTGTCATAATTAAATGTGTATTTTTCTTTTTTTGCTATTATAACCTTTGTTTTTCATACTCTTTGATGCATTCAAATTCTAAAAAAATGATACACGTTTATCTCATCAAAGACTGTCATAGTAATGGCATTTTAGGGCAGTTAATTGTTTGAATGTCTAAATGTGGTGCCTTCCTAGATTACATTGCAAGTTATGTGTTGGTTACTTTCCTATATTTAAGCCTGGCCCATGGAATAGTTTTCCAGTTGCCTTTTGTATTGGGCTTTTAATTTTGGGATGACTTGAAGGCATGAACAGGGTGATCTTTCATTGTACTTAAATATTTCTTCTTTTCTTGTCCTAAACTCATCTTATTTGGTTTTTTATTTGAACAGGGACATCAGGGTTGTGTAAATGATGTGGCTTGGAATTCAAATGGTTCACTTTTGGTTTCTGGTTCTGATGATGCACGGGTATGAAACATCTATGTTTCTCTACAAGTGTAGACTAAGTGCGATGTAATAGGAAGCATGAAAGTGGCTAAAATCTAATAATGAAAATTTTAGTTGATCCGTTCCTGAAAATTATATCATTATGATGATTTTTGTATTTATATAGAGTTGATTATTGTTAATGTTTGCCTTGTCTTAAGACTTCTAGTAGTCCTTCTGAATCAGGATTCTATTTATTAGTTGGTGAAATTTGTGTGTAGTGATGTGCATAAACACTATATATACCTGAAATGTTTTAAAAGTCATTTTTTTAGAACATAAGAAAACCTTGTCTTTTTGCCTAAAGAATGGTAGGCCTTGTTATTCAACTTAATGTGGCAAATGATGAGGAGTGATCTTATGCTTTGTAGTATGGAATGTGGATATGATTGCAAGAAAGAGGAAATAAGTTGTTGGTTTAGGGGCCTCTAGTATGCTAATCTTGTTGGCACCTGTCATCTGTTGATAAAGGTGTGTGAAGAACAGTGTTTGAGGGGTATTGGTTTTATGAAATATGTCAAATTTATTAATGAATTACTTTTTGCAGATTAATATTTGGAGCTATGCTGGTCGAAAGCTTTTGCATTCTATAGAGACTGGGCATTCTGCTAATATATTCTGCACCAAATTCATTCCTGAAACATCTGATGAGCTTGTGGTCTCTGGTGCTGGAGATGCGGAGGTAATTTTCGGAGCATGGTTAAACAGGGTTTCTTTGCTGGATTCTTCTTGCATTGTTATTAGGAATCATTAATAACTTGGAAAGCTAATGCTTTTTGCAGGTTCGGTTATTTAATTTGTCTCGCGTAAGTGAGAGAGGGCTCAATGATGTTGCTACTACTCCATCAGCGCTCTATCAGTGTCACACAAGAAGGGTTAAAAAACTAGCGGTAAGATTTATTGCCTAAATGACTGATAAATGGAATAATAATTTAATTGGCCAACAAACATGGGAACTAATAAAAATTTCAACCCTCAATGTTGCTTTACATGGAGAACATGATTGTTCATCTTGTTGCTTCACCTGCTATAGTTTCTACTTGTTTCCGTGTCAGGTTGAAGTTGGAAACCCCAATGTGGTCTGGAGTGCAAGTGAAGATGGAACTCTGAGACAGCATGACTTTCGGGAAGGCACTTCTTGTCCTCCAGCAGGATCTTCTCACCAAGAGTGTCGCAATGTTCTAGTGAGACCCACATTTTATAAGAAGGGTTTTCCTTTAATTCATTTCTATCTTCTAGATACATCTATGAGAACTTTGTTTGTAGAAGTTATAGTACTACCCAGACAGCGCAGCATGTTGATTGATAATATGTTGGTATTGATGGAATGCTTGTTCAAAAGGTTTGCGAGTTTTGACTTGTTGTCTTCATTGGGGTATAATTGTTGCTGTGGTTATTATACGACTTTAGTTTCCTTCTCTGTATATTCTATGCAGCACTAAACACATTTCTTTGATGTGGAACAATATGTGTTCCTTTCCCAATTTCTTGCCAATCAGGACACTTGGTTGATAGAAATTCATTTTTTTTCTCTTGTTGGGATCGAGAACTTACAACCATTCAATTTGTTTTTTTGAATGTCTGAAACCCAATGGAATCCTGGATTATTTTGCATCTAGTATTGAATACTGCGTAGATCTGGTCTTGATAACATAGCTCATCATATTCAACATCACTTTAGAATTTAGATAGCATGAGAGGACTTTAATCATTGGACAGAATTACATCCCTTGATTTTTGGGTCAATGGATTATCATCTCGAGGTCATTTGGTTATTGTTGTAGCTTGAAATTTTCAATTTCATTTTCCAATGTTTGTCTTAAGTTAAAATGCTCAAGTTTGGCATTGTAGAATTGCCATAATGAGTCAGTTTAACTGATTTTTCACTATCCTGTATCTTTATTCGACCGTATCTCCTTAAATTGTAATCATTTGAAATCTCTCTTTTTTGGCAGCTTGACTTGCGTTGTGGGACAAAGAGGTCACTAGCTGATCCTCCTAGACATACGCTTGCCCTAAAATCTTGTGATATCAGTTCTACGAGACCTCATTTGCTCCTTGTTGGTGGAAAGTACGTGGCTGATCTTCCCTTTCTTGATTTTTTTGCTTTATTTTCTCCACTAATCCTGTCTTTGAATGTTTGCAGTGATGCATTTGCTCGTCTATATGATAGACGCATGCTGCCACCACTGACCTCCTGCCGCAAAAGAATGTCACCGCCTACTTGTGTTAATTATTTCTGCCCAATGCATCTTTCTGACCGTGTTAGTTTTGAATTTGTTCGTTAGTTCTTACTCTTGTTTGCTTCCTTTTTGGAAGTATCTTGGTAAATTTTATGATTTCTGCTCATCAGGATCAAGTTTTATTTTGGGTTTATGAAGAGATTGCCTGGAATGATGTAAAAATTCAATTCGCAAATAATTATAATTCTCTATTTGTTTTCTTTTCTTTTCTTTTTTGGTAAATAAGTGAACTTATCTTGCTTTGGTCTTTGTTAGGTCACTATCATCAGAATTTTTAACTTATTGGAATCCTTTTTCTCCATTATTATGCCCATGAAAAAGAGTTTTGTTGGATATTTTAATTTAACAGTGTTAATGAGAATCATTTAGTTGTAAACTGCTGCTTGTTAACAATTCGCATTCCCATTAGTAATGCCACTTTCTTGCTTTAGAGTGTCATTATATGTAAAGTTTAAACTAAACTACAGCTTGTTTTAAGTAAAACTATTGTTATATTAATTCATTCTTTGTTTTCTTTGCTTTTTAGGGACGGTCAAGTATGCACTTAACTCATGTTACATTTAGCCCTAATGGAGAAGAGGTTCTACTGAGCTATAGTGGGGAGCATGTATATCTAATGGACGTAAATCGCGGTAGGCATATTCAAAATTCTTTACTTCTACTTTAGTCTGATGGTCCAATTCATTTGTGCTCATTTTTTTTTTTTTTTGTTTTTTCTTCTTTAAGGAGGCTTTCCCATTACTTGACTTGATATTATATAGTTTTGAATTCTCTTTCCATGTTTAATTTCCAGTTTTGTGGAAAGAAGTGAAGCAAGTGGCGGGCTTGATGGGAGTAGAATTAGAATTTTAAGTGGAATGAAAGATGCTTTAAATTTGTTCTATTTAGGGTTGTGCCCCGTAGAGCTTATGTGTCTAAACCTATAAATTTAGAGAACAGACATGTAAAGTTATACCTGTATCTTAAAGTGCAACTTAGGCTTAGAACACTCTCATCTTCCCTTCTTCCCCGGTTCTTTAGGTTTCATTTTCATGAAGAATTGCTTATTAGATTACAATATAAAGGATAAGCATGAATCAAGTCAGCTTATGTATGATACTTGATAGCTACTCATTATTAGATTAACTGAAATGTTCTTTGGCTCAGTATCTTTTAATTGTTTCCTTTGATTGCGGTTAGTGGGATTCAATACATAACCCATTACTTGGATTAGTGAAATGTTCTTTAGCTGAATCTGTTAGTTGTTTCCATAATTGGCAGCTAGTGGGAGTTTGATGCAATATACCTCGGGAGATACTTCAAAATTAATGACCTTTACTGCTGTACAGAATACACTGGAGCACCAACCACCTGCTTCCGGTGTCTTCCAAAATGGCCTCTTCCGAAGAAGCAGCCTTGCCGCAAGAGTATGCATCTTTTATTTGCACTTCTGTTCCCCCCCCCCTCCCTTTTTTTTCTTGTTTTGTAAATGTTTGGAACTTTTGGTAGATTGTTATCCAACTTATGTTGTTCTTCCATAAGTATTTCAGCTATATCCTAACATAGCAGTTACAGATTGAAAAATGCAGGATGTTGGTTGAAATTGCTAAAAGATCTTTGGAGGAGGGGACAAATATTTTCCATTCAATTGAGGCATGCAATGAAGTCTTGGATGGACATGGTAGTGATATTGGGCCCACACTAAGGCATGAATGTTTCTGTACACGTGCTGCCTTGTTGCTGAAGGTTCATTGATAACTTTGTTGGGACAAACTTTATGGACTAACTCATCTATTTGATATGCAATCATGCCAACATATCAACTTGTTGCCTTTTTCAGCGAAAGTGGAAAAATGATGCCCATATGGCCATTAGAGATTGCCATAATGCTCGAAGAATAGACAGTTCTTCCTTTAGAGGTCATTACTATATGGCTGAGGCTTTAGAACAGGTAATCCGCTGTATGAGTTATGCTGGAGTTAATGAACACTTTGGCGTACCTGATCAATTGACTTGCTTAGTGTCTTGAGTTACCAAGAACACTTACAATTATTAAGCTTCTAAGTTAGATGCTTCATGATGTTGGTTATCTGCCCCAGTACCATCTTTTATCCTTTCAAAACCTTCTAAAGGTAACTTGTGTGGTTAAATTACGTGATACACAACTGAAAATTTGTTGCAACTTTTTAACTTTTAGCAAAATTTAAGCTTTGTAGAACTCTTTCATATGAAAAATAAAAAATATCATCAACAATTGTTTGATTTTACATTTAGATAACATCATCCACTCAATAGCCAATACTATATTATGAGAAGTTGTTTAATAAAGTAAAACCAGTGGTTATGGCTTAGTTTTCACTTTTCACACAATAGCCAATCATACTTTGAATTCTTAATGGTGAGTTCTGTTTTAATGTGTTAATTTAATATTGTTGGTGTAGGTTTTGGTCTCTAGATGAATATTGTCCCGTGTTATTTAGGATGAAATGTTGTAAACCATAATACATTTTGTTTTAAACTTCCTTTAACTCTTTTTTCTTGAAAAAAAAATTGATCTATTGAAGGCTTAACTGGCAACCATCTATAAGGCAACAGCATGGTTGTCTCTTCATGTAAAGTTCGTGAAAGTAACCTCTGTTTTTTGTCATTTGGTTTCTACTTATTTGCAGTTGGGAAAACGTAAAGAAGCTTTGGACTTTGCTGTTGCAGCGCAATGTTTATCTCCATCTGATACTATGGCAGCTGAGAAAGTGGAGAATATAAAAAAACATCTTGCTGGAGGTTTGTGTCTTGTATGTGTGCATTGTAATCCCAATTCAAGTGTCTTATCTCTTACCTCCAAAGTTAATTGTCTTGCCAATATTCACTTGTGTAGGGCAATCGATTCTATCTTGGGTTAATGTTACTTTTACTGAAAGACAGTGTTGGGTTTGAGCATTGATGAAATTTTCTTGGGTATTCAGAGTTAGCATTAGTTCGGGTCTAACTTTTCTTCTTTGTTCAGTTCATTGGGTTGTCTGATTCCATGTTCTTATGGCCAGAAGTCCTGAATTTCTGATGTTTCCTCTGTTCAGTTCACCCTTTGGTTCTATCCAAGCCTTTTCTTTGTTCTTGGATTAAGTTTACTTTGTTTTTAGGCCTGGGAGCAATCAAGATTCAAGTGCACTTGTAGCATACTTAGTTTTCATATTTTTTATGTTGGTAACATGGGATCACTATGGTTATTGCCTATTCTAACTTCTTCTGCTGTTATGTATCTGGTTACTCGAAGAAGGGTGAAATTTGCTATGTCTCTCTTTTCATTTTCATCCGTTACTCCTCTCTTGGGTGGGGATGGTCTCCCTTAAGATTGTGAAAAATCGATATATCTAGTATTGATTATGACTTTTGCTGATTTTTTATCATTTCTTTAGTCTCTTTTTTTTTTTTTTATTAGCAGAGGCAGAAAAAAATAACAGGGCAAGTGATGGGGCATCTAAATCTGAACCCCGAACTGGAAGGGTATTGTCATTGAGTGACATACTCTATCGCTCGGAAGCTAACAGTGATGCTTCCCAAGATGGTCCAAGATCTGAAAGAGAAGATTCTGATTATGACGAGGAGCTGGAATTAGATTTTGAAACTTCAATATCAGGTGATGAGGGGCGCGATATTGAATCCAACATACTACATGGAAGTTTAAACCTTAGATTTCATCGAAGAGGTGATTCAGCAAGGGAAACTGGTGCAAATGGTTCATGTGGATCTCCATCCTCAGCATCGCAAAATGATAGAGCAGCTTATCAGGTTCAAATTCATATCTTTTGGTATAGTTTGCAAATGGTTTAGGATTTTGGTAAGCAGATGTCTCCTGTGTAGTTATATCATTATCAATAAATAATCTTGAAAGTGACTCCAGTCCAGTATTAATTGTCAAGGCAGGGCTAAATGTGTTACTGGTCATGTTACTAGCCTTTGGTTGTTATCTTCTTGGCAGATTATCGACTTGTGTATTACTTCAACTTGTGATGCATATTATTAATTTAATTAGAAATCAAGCTGCTGTTATATGTCAGGAAAAAGTTAACAAGGACTAGTCTACGATAAAGATAGCGTGGGAAAGAATCTTGTTTATGTAATTGCATGCTTACTTCCATGACCAGTTTGGTTGTTGTGTATGCACTTCAACAGATTCATCATATTGCTTGTGATATGTTCTTCTTTAACCTTCTTGCTTATGGTTTTCATGTCATGCATTCATATCTTTTCTAGCCTGAGGCAGTTATTGATATGAAGCGGAGATATGTTGGTCACTGCAATGTTGGAACTGACATTAAACAGGCCAGTTTCGTTGGTCAGAGAGGTACTTTCTCATGTCATCTTATCTATATTTTTAGCTGCCATTAAAATTGTATTGCTTTTTTTTTTTATGAGCTATTTAGCATAATAGCATTAGATTTATGGCGTTGGATTTGTGCCTTTTCACGGGTTTTCTTTCTTTCTTTCTTTTTGAATTTTGTTCCTTATATTTCTTTTATTTGTTAGACACCATTACACCCTTACTCAAGTTTGCTTATGTTATTTAAGGGTCATCATTTAAGTTCTACAGTTGAGCTCTAATGTTCTTTTGAGAACCAAAAAGGAGTTGTGACTCTTGGTGATATAAATAGAAAAGAGTCATGGTGTTCTCTGGTTGATTAATGGCTATTCATATGAAATAAATTGCTTTTTTCTGCAACAATATTTCTAATGCAGTCTACATGTGTCTCGAAAGAGTAGTTTCGCAACCATTTTGATGCACATTGAATCTGGATGAGCTCTAGAAATTATTGATGGAATCCATGACGTTTGTTGAACATTTGATCTGTAACAAATAAATTTGTTATCAAGCAGTCTCAATTGCTTTAATGTTCTAGTAGCGACCATGAGATGTGGGCTTTACTATCTTCATATGGTTTCTTATTCTCTGTATCCCCAGGAAACCTGATATTTTCTGTGTTCTTAATCCCATTTCTTGTTGATTGTGACTGTTGTTATTTTATTATCTGCAGAATATCAAATGTTCATGAAATCAGTTCTGTTTACAGAAAAATTGTTACTCATGACTAGTGGAATTGTGTCTGCATGTAATTTTAGTGGTGAAGCTATTATTGTGACATCCTTTGATTGATTTGTAGGTGAATATGTTGCTAGTGGGAGTGATGATGGGAGGTGGTTTATTTGGGAAAAGCAGACTGGTAGATTGATAAAAATGCTTCTTGGAGATGATGCTGGTAATATTTCTCCTCTCCTTCTCTTGGACCTTTCCTGCAGCATGTGGGCTTTACTATCATCCTATGGTAATATTCACCGTAAACTATTTCTTGTTGTCCTCCACAGTTGTAAACTGTGTGCAGTGCCATCCATTTGATTGCTTTGTGGCAACCAGTGGGATTGATAACACGATAAAGGTCAGTATTATGGGAAGAGTTCAATTATATGCAATATTCAAGATCAATTTTCTAATTTTAATTGGTGCATGGTGAAGCTATGGACTCCAACTGCTGGTGGGTCAGCAGGGCCAGAAACTGCTAAAATGTTGGAAGCCATGGAAAGTAATCAACGTAAATTATGTCGTAATCGTGAAGCTATCCTGTAAGGATTATGGATTGTATTTCCTTATGTTTTTAAAATAGATCATGCATTAGATGAGAAAAGATTAATAGCAGATATGTTATCCTTTTCCCATTTTTCTTTCTCATCTTGTTCTAGTTGATTGTTTGGATAGTTAATGCTCATTGTGTATCGTGATGCAAGTCTTTCTTGTGCACAGGTGGAAATACAAATCATATAGTTTTATAAACTCTCTAGGAAAATTCCTCTTTTCAAATGTTTTTTGTACTCAAATGTCTGAATTCTGAATATCTCATCCCTCAATATACAATCCTCCCTAATCCTTATAGCACCATCAGTTGGGCAAATGTCAACTGCCTTTTCTGTGAATCCTTTCTGTGAATCCCTAAGTAGTTTTATGAGAGGACAGTATTCCACTTCGTGATCTTGTTTGCTATTGTTTTTAAGATGAGATTTTTATAGCTGAAACTTTAGCTCCATATATTATCTGATTATTTACAACTATATACTCAGTTAGTTCAGTTTTCATAAGGGTACAAGTCTCAACAATGATATATTTAGATTCTGATTTTAGTTTCTTGTGACTTTAAGCTGCAGTTCGCTATAAATGTCGTCACATACGAGTATAGAGTGCTATATAATGGTTCCAAATGTCATGTTTGAAAGTGGTCAAACTTTTACTTATTTCTATTTTGAAAATGATTGAGTCATGGGATTTTGCAGGACTTAATCATCATAACTTAACTGAGATTCACCCAGGTAGTATTAGCCATGATAAACTAACTTATGAAACCTGAGCTTTCAACTAAAAAGAACTGGTCTACTTGGCTTGTTGAGGTTTTACCTTTTATTTTGTTTCATGTTTATCAAAATGTAAACTTTATGGAGATTCTTTATCTTGTCTTGCAAATTTTCCCCATCCCATCAACATTTAAACTTGGAAGTCCCATTACATTAACCTATCAGCTTAAGCTGTCTCGCCATAAACGTTGTCCCAAAAGAAAAGGCCATAGGAAGCTAGAGATTAAGCTGTTTGTCTTCAATTTAGACTTAGTTTTGGACTTCCAGATTAGGTGTGTTCATTACTTTTGAATGTTGATTGCTGTTTGAAGAACATGTGTTTGGCTCTGTTTTCGTAATTTTTGTAGTCATGTTTCTTGAATGAAATTTCCTTATTAGAGTCATCTGCAAGATCAATAATGTTATCTACAGGCCCTTTGAATTTTTGGAGCGGTTCCGGATGCATGACTTTTCTGAAGGATCCTTGCATCCATTTGAGTGTGCCCAGAGCTAGTCAACTTATAGCCCTTACAATAGTATGCAGGTAGCTAATTTCTCTATCGTGAAGCAGGTTTTTTTCTCAAATATTTTTACCTCTGAATATTTGTAAAAATTACACTTGCATTTACCGAAAAGACTGTTGCATGGCATTTTACGGACATGATAAGTTGGTTGATTTAATATATTGGAAACCATATATTGGGTCTTTTCTTTAGTTTCATTTGACAACTGAAGTTTACCTGGTTACATGTATTAAAAGGGCCTTGATACTACTGTCATGAATATCTAATTATTTTTACACTCAAACCGGTGACATTTCCACCACATTTGCAGCTGGTCCGGTCTGGTTGCGACAACACTGCCTGCAAATGTGATGAACATACCACTGGTTGAGGCTTAAGATTTATTGACATCTCATTAAGGCACCGAATATTAGCTTAAGTATCCCATTTCCTTGTCTTCTTTCCTTTTTTTTTGTATCCTTTTTTTTGTAGCCCTTGGCTATTACAGAAGTTAGTTGATGCTTGAATTTCGTTTTGTCCTTGGATAAACTAAATATCATGGGTTGGGTGAATCTGCTAAATTTTTGAAATGTGGGAAAATGCTTTGAGAGTTATCTGGATTAATGGGGAGAGCAACGAAGAACCTGATTGGGAAGTGTGAAATGCAATTCTATGATTCCAGCGACAGCCTTGGGCTTTTTTTTTTTGTTTTTAAATCCTGTTCCTTGAATCAGTCAATGGAATCAATCAAAGACCACCTTTCTTCAATCTTTTCATGTGTTCGTACATGGCGTATCTTCCACTTTTGAAGAAGCTTGTTTTTCTAGTCCTTTATTTAACAGTTTTTTTCTTTTTCTTTTCTTTTCCTTTTTCCTCCTTGCGGTTATTGATGATAAGTCTAAAAACTGCTACACCACCCAAGAACACATCTTGCAATATGAGTACTCATTCAATTTAGCATTGGGAACTCTAGCTAACTTAAAAACTTTCTGATTCGGCAATTATAACATTTTTCCTTTTAGGGTTGTTTAAGCGTGCAACATCATGAAATAACCTAGCATATAGACGAACTGTTCGGACCATTTCGATCAGTTAGTGCTGCGTTATGTTTGACTTGATGGCATTTACTTTCCTATAATGCATCTCTAACACAGCATCTTTGTTTTTTTCCTCCAGCTTTTGCCATACAAATAGCAACGTGCAGCAGCAAATCATAATGGAAAGAAGGGATCTTTGGTCACACAAAAGTCCGGTGAAGATGACGTACGATTAATGAATGAATGATAAAAGCCAGCTCTTAATTAGTTGACCATGTCAAGCTTATGGGGATTGTCAAAGATTAGTTAGAAGATTGAATAAAGCATGTAAAGCATCTCAGTTAGTTTTCATGTAGTATGTTCTTTTTTCTTTCCACCTTTTCTTCAATGTCGAAGACCATTCGATTTGTTTGTAAATTGTTGGAGACGGTCATGTATATAGTTTGAGGAATGAGGATTTTTATGTAAATGGTCAACATACTGCGGTACCCTCAGTCCGGACTCCGGAGTGGATTGGGGTCTGATCTGTGAACGTCCATTTCGGGATGGTCGGTACGGTTATGCCTTTTGAGTTGATATTTTTTAATCGAATGCAAGTGGCCGTGCTTGGTGTTATAATTCAAACATCTACTTTCCAGCGATCCCTGGAAGGGGTTAGAAAAATGATTAGCGGAGCAGAGGTGGATGTGTGGTTGTGACTTTGACCGGAAAGAAATATTCGTCAAAGTGGAAAAGGGTTGTCTTGTCAGTTCTTTAAAGTAGTCTAGTTATTTTGTCGGCCAAAACCGTGTGGTATAAAGTCGATTTTTTACTGGAATCTTGAAACGATATGATAAAAATAACAATAAAATACAAGTAGTATTTTGTCTTCCTCTTGTTACAACGCTATCTAACCTTCTCCGGGTCCATGCAGTTAAAAAAATCTCTGCTCCTGCCTGCCCATGTAAGAAGGATTTTGTTAATTTTTTTAAAATTATGGTTTTAAGAAAAAATTTTAATATCTTAAAATTATCATATAAATTATTATATTTAATGATTTTTTTAGAAGGCATTATAAATAGTTAATTAACATTAAATTGTGCTCTCAAGGTATTTTTTAGTAAAATAAAACTCATAAAGAAAATATAAGAAAACAAAAAACTGAAAAATTTTATATGGTTTTTTCCAAAGGAGATTGTATGGTGAAAATAAGAGAAAAATTAAATTTTAAAATTTAAATTTATTAAATATTTTTTAAAAATAATGGTATGAATTAATTAAATTTAAATTTTGGAATTTAAATTTGTAAGATTTTGTTATCTTTGTGAGAGGAGATAGTGTTGTTGCATTGGTGACAGATCATTGAAATATAAAGAATTTTAAAACACTTCAAACAACGTAGCTTTTCCCGAAAATTCTTGCATGATCTATGGTTCTATTTTCCAAAATAGTTTCTGGCTATTGGATTGAATTGGTGCTACTCAACTTTCGAAAGTCAAGATTTTTTTTTTTGGGGCCAGTGAAATTTCCAAGATTAAAAAGGCCAAATCTTAATCTTTTCTTGAAAGAAAAATTATGAAATATTTAGGAAAACATTGACACGTGCGGCACATGACGGTCTGATACAACCAGTGCTGGCAGTACTTATTCAGTCAAAACACACTTTATTCACTCCGGGAAATATATACTTATACCAATAATTCCAAAGATTCTTCTTTTCGGTTTTTTCACTTTTTTTTTTTTTTTTTTTCTAAATTTTCAAGTCATGTTCCTGAGATCTTAAACACATGTGATAGACGCCCTCATATTAAGCATTCATCTAACTCAACTTTTTTCTGGCATTTTAACATGTCAATCAAACCACTTCCAAAAAAAAAAAAAAAAAAAACCGAAAGAATAAGTGAAAGTCATTTAGATTAGAATGTGATGAATTTCAATTTCAGTTTATTTGCTTCGGCCAAAAAAAACCCGTAAAACTGGCTTCAAGAGTTCCATGTTGGGTCTTTGGGTCCTTTGATTTGTTTACCTTAATCTCATTTTTAGAGAGCAACAATTAAAATATGTTACTGTTACTGATATATATACTGATATGATCAATTGATAAAGCAAATCTTTTACAGCAAATTATATTACCATAATTATATGAGAAGTTTCTTAGTATGGTATATCATGTTGAATCAATTTTCAGTATTAGGATTCATGAATAACGTGCACATCTTACTAATTTATGATAAGAAATCATTGTATCATCCAAATCGTAAATAATATTTGATCAGTTATATTATAAGTACCATATTGAAAATCAAACTTTCCATGTAAAAATATGAGATACAATATATAATGGATGTATATACATACATATGTCATGTGACATGTCCCCCCCACAAGCATCTCTAAATTTATCTTCACAAATGTGAACTGCTATGCTTCTTTATAACTAAAAGTACGCAACCTTCTGGACCACCTAAAACTGTAATTTATACCGAGTTTGGTAAAAAAAAAAAAAAGATAGATAGATGGTGAAAGAAAAAAAATTACTTTCTTTCCATCATTTCTTTGTTTGGTAAGAGAAAAATAAAAAAAATAGAAAAAAAATAAGTGGATTGGCACATTTTCCTTTTCTTTAAATTAAACTCTTCTAGATGTGAAAAGAAAATACTTATTCAATTAAAATTAACAAATTTGTTTGCGACTTGACCCTATTTATCTCTTTTTTCTTTTAATTTTTCATCTTTCATATGGAATACAATGAAGGAAAAATAGCTTTCCTTCATCTTCTTAATTTTTTATTTTCAATTTTCTCCTTACGTACCAATCAAAGTTTTAATGTAATGATGTCCGACTTTCAATGGTCATCAATTTGCATCAAACCCTATTGGTTATAAACCTTAAAAACAAAATTGATAATGGATGAGTGGTTACAACTATTTAACTCTTGATTTCACCTCCCTTCAATTTGAAAGTACTGACCGGTTACGTCATTGTTAAATGCATTCCTTTATGGCACAATTAATGGTAATTAAGCAAAGTTACCACCCCATGTGATTTCAACAAAAAAAAAAAAATCAATTGCAAAAGACATGTCTTTATCTAATTTGATTCCCAGATCGAATTAGCTGTACCCATATCCCATTTTTGTTTCCTACCCTTCATTGATTCTTTGCCTAAAATTCACAAAACCCAAACATTTTTATCTTCTCTTTTGCCTTACAATGATTTAGGTTTTATTTAATTTTTGTTATTCTTTTCGTGATGTGGCAGAGAATTTACTGTCACTTTCTAAAGTTGGCAGCCTCGTCGAATCTACAATATATATGTATGGCTCATATTTTACTTATTTTTTCCCCCAAAGAAACTTCTTAAAATCTACCCTTCTTTGATTATGACTTTCTTTGCATTTATGTTGGGCCAAAACAAATTTTCTAAGGACTCGAAAGAAAAGAATGTTGATATTTATATAATTATAGATATATCTAAGACCCTCAAACCTCAATCATGCATTCTTTTTTGGGGAAAAAAACTTTAAACAAACACTCTGAAAATTGAATTATATATTAGTATTTTATTACTTTTCACACACGCGATATCGAAAATGATACCCAATATTCATTAATGTATTATTGCAATAAAACTCCAATGAAACATGGTTTCTTTCCTTGTGTGGCCGTCTATCTCACCCTTTAAAATCGTCATTTCTCTCTTCCTCTCTCGCATATGAAGCAAAAAATATGACAGCAAACAAGGAAGAGATTGTAGCAATATCACAGCAATCAAGCCTCTTAGAGTGTTCCATGTGTGGAGATTCTGGTCTAACTCAGGAGCTTTTTCAATGCAAAGTTTGCCAATTCAGATCTCAACACAGGTATAAATTTGTATCCCCACCGTTGTTTTCCTTTCTGGGGTTTTGTTTTAATTGATCAAGAATTTGTTTCTCTTTTTAAAAAATTTTCTTCTGTTTTCTTTCTCGGGAAAGATGATGAAGATCACCATGGTTTTTTGGTTTCTGTTTTTGCCAGCTACTGTAGCAATCTGTATCCAAAAGCGGGGTCTTATAAAGTTTGTAATTGGTGTTTGAATCAAAAGGAGGATTCAAGGGAGAAGTCTCAGAATTCTTCTAATTCTTCAGCATCATGTAAAGACAACAGCGAAGACGATGCCAAGAACAAGAAAAAGGGTGACAATAACCATGGAAGAAACAACAATATAAAGCTTCAACTGATCAAGAACCCCATCAAGAAACCAAAGTCACCGGAGAAATCCCCAATTACGACGCGAAAAAGGATCATAACCAACGCTCGTTTAGAAGAAAAGCTTAGGAGGACAAGGTCTGAAGAGGTATCAAATAGTGGGCTCATTACAAGGCATGTGTTCAGAAACAAGGTAAGAAGATACAAGCTTTTGGATGAGGTTTCAAGTTAAAATAAAATACTCAAATGCTTATCTGAAAATGAACCTTCATAGATGCTTATGGTTTTGTTTCTCTTGTGAGGAAATTTATGGTCCCAAAAAAAAAAAAAGCTAGACAAAAATGTAGTCGGGTTCAATGAATGAAACCCAATTGATCAGATGAGGAAACTAGGGCTGTGCCAGAAAAGGGTTGGTTTATTTACTACTAGTAGTACATGTTTTATTTTCCCTCGTTCCAAACACATAAAATCTGTGTAATTTGGAAGAAAGTCTTGGAATGATAGAAAATCCATGGATACCAATTTTCCATCTCGTGCATGGTTAAAAAATGTTCTTGTCCTATTCGATAACAGTATAATGCATAAATTAAGAGTCATTAAAGGAAAGTTCCTTCAAAACGCAATAGAATTTGCCAGGTAATTGTCACCAGGATGCTTCCACCACTGATATAACAGCTAGCACGACAAACCCAAATTGTTTAAGAAAAAAAACATGCTAAACAGATTTGTTTAGGTCAAATCCTAGTCCTTCCATTCCAAGAGTGAAATTTCTCAGATTCCAATTCGCGGTCGGAATATTTTAGCAAAAAAAAATGCAGGATTTGTTTTTATATCTTGAATTGTTCCATATATATGCTTTGAAAGAAAGTATAAAAGCTAGCTAGTTGCAGAAAACTACTAGTATAATTTAGTGTTAGAAAGAGTTCGTTTTTATACATTATCATTAACATTTTTTAATTTTACAACTATAATTAAAAAATTATTATGTATCTCATTTTTTACGTTTATATACTTTAAGTAATTTTGGTTGTGAAATCTAAAAGTTTTTTAAGAATAGATGAGATAATTTCTTCTAGTAATAAATTAAAAAAAAAATGACTTGATCAAATTTAGTCTATTAATCATTCATATATACCTATAAAAAATATTAAAAAATAAGTCCATTAATTAGCCAAGGATAGACCATTCTTCACGCCATTTCTTTATGTTTTTCTTTCTTTAGTAATAGTTTTTTTTTTTTTTTTTTTGCCTTGTTCATAGCGTATACAATGGGTCGTTGAATTTGTACCCACTAAATTCTGTGGTTGATCATGTCTTCAAGTTATTGCCACGCGAATTAGAATCCGTCTTTTTTTTTTTTTATTTGTTTGTTTTGCTTTTGCCACAAAAAAACCTTGACGTGTACGGATGATTTCAACTGTATGCGTTCAGAATTTTTTATGGGATTAATCGAGAAGGAATGAAGATGAAGAGAATATATCAACGCAATTATATTAATTCAATTAAGATGTCAGCCCTTATTTTTAAAAAAATTAAGTCAATTCTTATTTTCTTTTTGTGTATATACAACATATATATATATATATATATAGAGAGAGAGAGAGAGAGAGAGAGAGAAGAGAGAGCAATTAGTTAATGCACTCCGTAAAAAATGAGTTTTCAAACTAGGGATATTTTTTTGATATTTGTGAAAAGGTCAATTCAAAAAGTAAATTTCTGATGGTTAAAATATTAAAAGAATTTTTTATTTTTTTACTTTATTTAGATAAATTTTTATATTTTTATTATACTTAAATAAATTTTATTTTTTTATTTATAGATAAATATGTCTTTGTTTCAAATAAAAGATTGATTTATATTAAGAGTTTATTTATGTACAAATTAAAAAATAAAGATTTATTTAGATGCAAATTAAAGTTTAAAATTTTATTTGAATACAAAATAAAAGTTAAAATCTTATTTGAATGCAATAAATATATTATGATTTATCTAAATAAAATGATAAAATTTATGAATTTTTTTATTATTTTAACCAGTTCTAATCAATGCATTGAATTGATATAGAATTTTCTTTAAGATTGTTTGGAAAATTTATTAAACTTAGATAAAATTTGAGAGATACCTTTAACCGTATTACCAAATATATATATATATATATATTTGTAGTTGGTCTGAAAAAAAAAAAAAGTAAAATGAATATGAAGCTTGAAGTTGAAAATTTGAAATTCGCTAAATTTGGAGAAAATTTTAGTGGAGTTTGTATAAATAAATACCCTTAAATCTGACAAATATAGACATTTTGAATAAATAAACGTCACTAAATTTTAATGTTTTGAGTTACAAAGAGTTTTAAAAAGTTATATTTATTATTATTAAAAATTTTTAAATTATTTAATAGCATTTTTTTGTAAACATCACAAAATTTTTATCATTAGTGACATTTTATTTTATAAATGCCTCTCAATATAGATTTAATGACATTTTATTTTATAAACGCTGCTAAATATAGATTTAGTAGTGTTTATAATACAAACGCCGTTACACTCGAAAAATCACAAAACTTCTTTTGTTTTATAGTGAAATGCCACTAAAAAAGTGCCACCAATTATCTTTTTTTTTTTTATATTGTATATATATATTATGCCTTAATAAATTAATTTTCCATAACATGAAGTTCATGTCTAAAGAACATATAAACATGTACTACATTAATTTTTTTGTGGTTTTAAGATAAAAGCAGAATTAGTTTTAGGGCTCATTTGAATTTAAAAGAAGAATCAATGTGGTGTAGTTGTGATTAGAGGCTGTCAACGCAATGTAAATATGTTTGGAACACAAATGGCAGCATAGGGAAATAACCACACCAGGGTATCAATGCATTGTAAATATGTTTGGAACACAGATGGCTAGGGTTGGTAATGCAATCTGAATCCATCCAGTTCCATCCCAACTCAATCCTACAAAATCAATTTAAAAAAAAAATATTTAAGTTTTTGGTTGGGTCATTTTTTTAAAATTCAAAGTTAATAAATTCGTCTTAACTAGATCTGATATATATAATTATTTGTTATTTATTTAATTATATATTTTTATATATGTATTTAATTTTATATTTATATTAAAAAAATATTTTATTAATTTTGAATCTAATTAGATCAATTATGAATTAATATATATATGCAAATTAGATCGAAAATAAAAATAAAATATTTTAATATCAAATCAAATTCAAATATTTATTATATAAAATTTTAATTCAAGACAAATGAAAATTCACGATCCATTACCTTATCTACAAATAACAGCATGGGAAAATATTCCGACCATGCCATAGCTCTAATTAAAGACTGGACCCTCACGGTTCCAACGAAGGGTTGCAAGTTTTGATCGTAGCTATTTTTTTTTTATTCTATTTTTTTTTCAACATTTGTCCTTTTCTCCAACCTTTGTGTGTTTTTTATTATTATTATTATTTTGTTTCACTTTAAAAAAATTTTAAAATGAATTTTTTTTTTTACAAAATCAAATTGTTAATTTTTTTATTATTTATTAATAAAATTATTATTTTATATAAAATAATTTAATAAATTTTTAATTATTTATTATTTTTATAAATATTGTATAATTTATAATTTTATTATATTTCATTTTTAATCTAATATTTTCGATAATTATTTTTTTATTATAATTTATCTCATTTACATTTACCTTCAAATATATATTATACCATTAATTTTAATTTTACTATTATAATAATCGATATCATCACTTTAATAAAGAATCTCCCGTCATCCAAATTCAACCCAAAACAATATATTAAACTATTGGTGTGAGTTGCCGAGATGCTTCTCATCATCGATGTTCTTGTTTGCGAGTAAAGTGAGCTGTTATGGAATGATGAGTCCACCCTTTCACATCCATTACCGTACGCGATGATTTATATTGGCACCCAAATTAAAGATAATAGTAGTACTAATAAATTAAATATTAAAGTTGAAGTTATTGCCATGTACAAACAACAAGATTAATCCAAGAAAAATTAAACGGAAATCATAGATCAGTAACTACGTGCTATTCTTATCTTATTTAAGGTAATAATGTTTAGATTAAATTAAATTTAATTTTTTAAAATATTATATAACATTATAAAATTTTAAAATTTGATCTAAATTTGAATCAAATTTTTATTTAGTTTAAATTAAATTGAATCAAAATTTATTGGTTTGATTTAATTTATTAATTTTAATTTTTAAATTTTTATATATTATTTTAATATAAAATTTTAATATATTTAAGTAGATTTTGTATAGAATTATTATTTTTATTTTATAAAAACTTAAAATATATATAAATTAAAAAATTTATATAATTTAATTCGATTAAATTTTTTAAATTTTTTATTTTTCGATCTGAATTCGATCTAAACTTAATATATACATTTAATATTTAAATTTAATTCAAATCAAATAAAAAAATCGATTCGAACCCAACATTATAATTTCGAATCAATTTTTTATTTTCTTAATTTTTTTCTCACCCTTACTAAGATTCTTAAAAGTTAGATGCTTTGCATTTATTTTACAAGGTTGAGGGATAAACATGAGGTGAGGGACTATATATGTACTATCTGCATCATCAGTATTAATAAGTAGAGGGAAACTAAAAGGCCATGGACTTCATCAAATGGTTCAGTTTTTTATCATCATCTTGTAGAGTTCCATGCCAAGCTATTGTTGTTGTTTACCGTAAGTACAGGTTATTTCACCAAATGATGTGAAATTTTCGAAAAGAGATAAGTTGCAATGAAGTTGGAGCTGGGCCAATTGGGGTAATGATAAGCCGGCCTTATGCTTGTAGCTAGAATGATCGGTGTTTTGTTGGTATTAAATGGGCCAAGCCTATAACCCTAGCTGACCAAATCAACCCAATCCCTTGGGAGAGAGATCTGAGATTTCAATAGACATCATCCAAGTACAATGTATAAAATCATATTTCGTTGTCGGGCATAATTTATTGAGTCGATAAGGTTTAAATATTTTACTTATAAAATTTATATTTGAATTTAATGTAAATTCACTTTCAGGTTCATTGTCTGCTTTGATTTTGGATTAGTGAAGCTTTCTCTTACCTTAAATTGTTTTTTTTTTTAAATCATATTATTTTTATCAATAAAAAACATGTACTTATCATTGAATTAAAATTTTCAAGATTTCTTTGTACGTTGTTAAACTATCATAATCTTATCATATGTAGTCAATAATAATAATAATGATACGGAAGAAAACATGTATGTCTTTAAATACTATTATATTAGTGAGATAGCGTGAAAGTAATTTCTTATTGAAGTGTCTAAATCTTATTGATCATCGGACGTCCATTAAGTTCAATTTCAAATAACAATAAGCAAATCCAAATAATTCATTACATGTTCCAAAATCGAACCATACAATAACTTTGTGTTTTGGGACAAATTTGGGGCCATGCATGAGAAAGATGAAACATTGAAGCTGACTTGAGATGACATAAGAT